CTCCTTAACTCAGGGACAAACAACCCAGATATCAGGTGATCAGATGGTGGCTTGAACTGAAGCTACTGGTCTCTGGCTTAATTTTTAACCAGCATGAACTATGCTGGCCCTGGATGGGGAGAGGAAGGAAGAGGAGGGGAACTTATACCTGTGGAAAATAGCCACCTGGGGACACTGGAACTTGCTGACCCAGGAGTCAGCCCTAGGCAGTTTGCTGACTTGAGACAGTGTCAGTATTTTAGGGTAGAGGCTATTTCAGCCAGGATTAAAATCAAATGAGATAATATATGTAAAGTGCCATATTAATGAATCTTCTTTTCTCAGGCTCTCTTGTGGGTGTCTACCCTGGGTTGACTGATAGGAGTATAGGGGGTCAGCTCTCAGAAGGGAGGTACTGTAGGAGCTGCCCTCTGGAGTCAAATCAACAATATTTATTAAGTGCCTACTATGTGCCTGGTAATAAATAAAGGCAGAAAGACTTTGCCTTCAAGGAGCTCATATTCTAACAGGGAGACAATGTGCAAACAACTATGTACAAGTAAGCTATAAACAGGAACATTGCAGGTAAATTTGCAGAGAAGACACTAACATTAAGAGGGACTGGGAGAGGTTTCTTGCAGAAGTTGGGGTTTTAGTTAAAACTTGAAGAAAAGCAAGGAGACAGACATGAAAGAAGAGCATTCCAGGCATAGAGGAGAGGCAGTGAAAATGCATGGAGATGGGATGTCTTGTTTTTGGAACAGCAAGGAAGCTGGATCATAGAGTATATAGAGGAGTTGTTGTTGTTGCTGTTGTTTAGTTGTTTCATTTGTGTCTGGATCTTTATGATCCCTTTTTGGGTTTGAGTTTTTTTTGTTTTTTTGTTTGTTTTGTTTTTTGGCAAAGATACTAGTTTGTCATTTCCTTCTCCAGCTCATTTTACAGATGAGGAAACTGAGGCAAACAATGTTAAGTGACTTGCTCAGGGTCACACAGCTAGTAAGTGTCTAAGGCAAGATTTGAATTTAGGAAGATGAGTCTTCCTGACTGAAGGCCCAACACACTATCCAATGTGCCACCTACCTGCCCTCCATGGAAGAAAGTAAGGTATAAAAGCCAAACAAAAGATTTTACATTTGATTCTGGAGGTAATAGGGAGCCTTTGGAGTTTATTGAATTGGGGTGGGGGGGGTAAGGAAGTTGTGGTCAGATCTACACTTTATAGGAAGATCAGTATGATAGTTGACTGGAGGACTAGAATGGGGGGAAAGATTTGATATAAGGGAGACCAACCAGAGAGCAAGAGAGACACGTAATAGTAGATGACATGTAATTTCACTGAAGAAAAATAGTGACCCAGCTATAGGATCTACACTGGCCAGGTGCTAAGGAAGGATGGCAGTATGTGGGAACCTCTCTTTGCCATCAGCAAATTGGATATCTGGGTCTGAATATAGGAGTGAGGTTCTAGGAGGTTTACCGCCTTTGGGTTGCAGATTCTGTGTCATGTTTTGGGCCAGATGAGATTCAGGGAGATTCAAGGAATAGGAAGCATAGCAAAGTGCTAGATTATAGGAGGCCCCAGTACCTTCTGTCCCACCATAGCCCTGCTGAGTAGGATTATGGGAAGCAATATAAACAGCGGAGAACCTCAGTCAGAAAAACGAAAAATGAAGCTTTGGGTGGCCATTTTTATAAAGATGGCAGCTCTGGATGCTCTTCGTCAAATTCTATTTGATCTCTTTGCTTGGCTTTTACAAAGAAGGAAAATTAGGCTCAACAGATGAAAAAGTTTCTAAAATTTTACTAAAACTCCCTGCCCTGGAGGTCATGAGTAAGACCTATAGGTCTTGGTATTGAGGCAAAGGCCCATCACTTTCCCAGATATATCATAGGGAACATTCTTGTTCAGGTGTATATGGGTTGAACCAGGTGGACTTCTGAGGTCCCTTCCAATTCTGAGATTCTATAATTCTGCCTTTACCCTATTCCTACTTTGTGGTTGTGACGTGTATGGGTGCTCTTCTATGCCAGCCACCTTGGACCCTTCTGAGATGAGACTCAAGCAGCTTTCACTATCCCCAGTGACTGTGATTGGGAATAGAAATCTAGGATTCAGGCCATTTACCTCCTAGCAGCTGTTTGGGGGAGAGATGAAATTTTCTCTTGGCTTCCAGTTCCCTCTGGTGTACCTTATACACCTTCACACTCACCATCTTCCACACCTTTATTCTCTTCAGAGCTGGAATTGATCTGGGGTCATCTTTCACCTAGGCCATACCCGTCTTGTGTCTCTTTAATCCTGGTTGATAATCACTGTGGTTAATGCTTTTCTTTAGTGATTTGAATCTTCCCTTCTGACCTCAACAGCATCTGCTGGTCCAGGCTGGGCCTCTCTAAGGGGGAGGGCCTGTGCCTGGGGAAATTTGGGGGGCCTGCACTCCAGACTTCATTAGCACAGGAGCCAGGGATCATCGGCTATTTGTTTTGTGTTATTCCTGCGGATGTCTTCCCTGTTTGTGTATTGGCAGTGCCTGGGGGAAGAGGAGGAGCAGGAGCTGGTACTTGGTACAGTGAAAAGAGCCCTGGCTGGAATATTAGAAGTCCTGGCCTTAACCAGATGAATGACCTTGTTCTCTCAGCTTTATTCTGTAAAATTGCAGGGTTATTATAAGATCAGATATTTTCTCATATAATTTCTAGGCCTGATAATCTATTCTTTCTGCAAATTCCTGGCTTCTTCTCCTACCCCATTTCTGTAGAACACGAGCCAGATATGTTATGTTTTTAAACATGGTGGCAGGGTAGAGTCAGGTGAATAGGTTAAGGGAGGGAAGCTTTCTGCAAAGCCTCTGAGACATAGTCTGTGCCTTGGGGAAGACCTTGTTCAGAAAGATTTCTTCCTGCTCCCAGCTGTGTGCCACTTTTGAAACTAATGGAAACAGAGAGCAATATAGAACACCAAGTGCTCTTTAGACAATAGGAGACCAAAGGAAGAAGAGATAGCGTGTGGAGTACTGAGAGAAGCCTCTCGAAAGAGGTTAAGGTTAAGTTGAGCCTTGAAGTACTGGTAGTATTTGGATAGGTGTCAAAGAAGGGGGGACTGCGTGGGCATTCTAAGTTGGAGGAATATTTTCAATAAAGAGGAGAATGAGCATGGGGTGGGGAGAGACTAATCTGAAGACCCTTTTTGGGTAACAGTGGGCAATGGTTCTGAAGAGAGGAAGGACCAGATTTTGGAAGGACTTGAATATCAATCTGAGGAGTTTGGACTTTATTTCAGCAGATGGTGAGGAGTCATCAAAGGTGTTTGAGTAAGGAGGAGGTGGGAGGTGACTCATTTTCTTCCTTATGGGATTCTTCCCATTTGATAGATGAGGAAATTGAAACTTGAAGAGAAAAGTGAGTGGAAACTTTGGGCGAGTTAATACAGATCCAGGGTTAAAATCTAGGTCTCTTGATTCTCGGCCAGGACAGGCTAAGCTCTGGAAGGCAACTTTTGTATGAGTAGAGAAAAATTGCCCCCAAAGAGATGGGAGCTCTTCGTCTCCTGGGCCCTAGCTCTAGTTTCTTGGTAATGTCTGAATTACCTGAAACTTTGGTTCAGGGATACTTACCAGCCTAGGAGACACAAGGAACACGATGCCCTGCATTTTCCATCTGAGTAAAATTAAGACCAAGGGAGACAAGGGCCTCTTGGAGCCGGAGGTGGAGAATACTTGGGATGCTCCACCTCAAAGATTTTGGATGTCCAGAAGAGGAAGTATACACCCAAAACCGATGTCCATCTTTTCTGGCCAAGCCTCAGAGCCTCAATAGTCAGCCAGAACTCAGGCTGTACAGTATGTGAAAGGTGGGGAAGCCAGTTCTGGTAAATAAATGTGGGAGTACTGGCAGCAGGCTAGCCTTTGTTTGTCTTCCTCATTCTTCCTCTGTCTGTTTATTAATAACTCTGCTCTGGACAGGCTTTAGGAAGGAGAAGTTCCAGGGTCCTTGCCTCTAGTGGCTGATAGCTAGTCAAAATGGGCTCCACAAGTTCCTTATCCTTGCCTAGCAGTATGGCTAATTGCCCAGACTCCCTCACTCTTCCATAGGTCCATTCCCTGATTTGCTAAGGAGTAAATTTTGACCTGCCACCAGATGGCACTGCAGTATTTAATTTTGGGGTATCTACCCTAAGTGAACCCTTCGTTAAGAGGGACCTGGTTCTCCCACTTAGTCCCTCTGTGACTCTTTCCTCCCCACCCCCAGCCTCCGCTATGGTCATATAGTCAGCTCCACTGACTCCCTTTATGGGAAGGAAGGGCTGGGTCTTCTAAACAATGACCGGACATAATTTTGAGCCAACTTTTTGCTCCAGGAGAGGGGCCTAAATAGGAGGTAGATTTGAAAGTGGCTAGCTGGGCCCAGAGTGAGCGTCAGGCCTCCTGGGTTCCTACCTGATAGGCCAAAGATCTCTGGGTTCATAGTTTTTACTTCAAGACAGGCAGAACATCTGCTCTCTGTTTCCTCTGAGGGCCCCTCCTTTGCGTTAATTCCATACCATTGATCAGGTATCCAGGTGGCATTTTCCCCTGTCCCTTTTAGGAAGGAGGGCTGTGGCACAAATCCCCCAAGCCTACTTCTCACTGGTATTTTGGTCACCAAATAGCTAGTGTTTGATGGGGGGTGGGGATGGGGGTAGGGATGGGTGGCACTTTAGGAAAAGACTTCCCCTATCTCTCAGCTTCTTGTCACATTTCTTTTTTTTTCCTTGGAACTTATAGGGCTAAGTACTTTGTGCCTAGGAAGGCCCTCGATACTTATAGCAGAATCCATGGGTTGGAGCGAAGCAAGGGTATTGGTCCACAGAATGTCCCCGTTGTATTCTCTCTCCCCCTGAAAGGGTTCTTTGCCTCGTTTGGCCACTGGAACCTATTGGATATGGAACCTGGGCCCCACAGCTTATGTTTTTGGCAGACGTGGCTGTGGGAGATGTCCCAGTTATCTCACCAATTCTGACTTCTTTGTTTCCTCCCCAGATGCTGCCTGCCCCCGAAGCTTGGACTGTACCCTGAGAAGGAGGGCCTTGTGCCCACCAGGTTCTGGTGCCTGTGGGCCCTGCCTTCGGCCCTTTGTGGAGGATGACCTTGGCCGCTGTATTCCCAAAAAACAGTTACCAAGAGGTACGTGGGATCTGGGGCGGCGGGTGTGGGAATGTGTGTGACTGGATTCAGGGTTATAAACCCAGCTTGGTGTGGCCTAGATGGCAGGAATGGATGAGGGGTTGAGATGAGGTGAATTGTCCACCTTTCCTCACTATGAGCCCCAGGACTACTCTCAGCTACGTATGAACATGCACGGATAAATACACAGAGACAACTCACACATGCACAGACAGACCTGTTTGGGGAACATGTTGTTCTGGGTTGATTCTCCCCTTGACAGCTTACACATCCCTGGAGCTAGCACTGAGGATGCTGGGTGAGGACCATGTGGCTGCTCTGGGTGCCAGGAGAATGGGCTGTGCTGCTTATATCTGCTTTCCCGTCTTGTTCCTTTGTTGTGTTACTGGCCCC